TATACTTAAACCCTACCCTATAGCTCACATAGCCCTAATACAAATTTTTACAATTCCTATACAAGAGCAGTGACATTAACTTGGGTGACCTATGTTGTTTTACTGTTGCTCAATTAAGAAAAACATTTGGGTATAATAAATCATATTAAGGTATGTTTCAAAGTTGGATTATACATAAGGACATATCGATTTTTATGTTGTATTTACCTAGAAAAAAAGAGAACATTATAACCCTCTGGGATCTGTTTCTCAATATAGTAATTAATTTTCCAGGTTTGTAATTAAACAATTTCAATAAGTAGCAATCAGGAGGTAATAACATTCAATTAAAGGCACAAGACACATTTTCACCTTAAAATGTTTTTACCCTTGAAGTAATACCAGCGGAAGAGGATAAAATAGGGTATTAACACTTTTCAATTACACTAAATGACTTTAAACCTGCAAATGATGTCCTACTTTAATTAGAAACTCTTCTCTTTATTGCAACATGATGGATGTCCACTTTATTAGATTCAAGTGTGACACTATAAGCCCACTTTACATAAACATTACTATGTTGTTAAACAAAAAGAGATGTTTGTTAGCATGTCAGGAATATAATTTCAAAATACTGCTGCCCTGTTCTAAATATGCATTACTATATAAGTATAGACATATTCATATTCATGAAACATAATTTCGAGAACAAGTTAAATCTCCTGTGCAAACCAAATATATCACAGAAATAAACTATCTCATAAGGAAAGGTCTAAATTTTAGAACCACTCAAAAATTATACAATAACTGAAAGTGCACACTTTCCTACAATTAGCCATTAGAATACTAATTTACATAGCACTAATCCATCAGATGATCCGATTCTTTCCGGGATCTCTTTCTCTACAATATAATATCAGTCTCTCTTCTAAATGATTCGCTGACATGGAAAATGGCATTTGATTGAGGTTAACTTATCATCTTTATTCCCTGCTTGCATGACATAGGCAAAAGAAAATGGATTATAAGCAAAAACCAGGAACTTCACAAAGCTCTTCTTGACTTGAAGTGCTGGCATAACCTATCAGTACTAATTGGCATTATCAGCACATACTGAAGAATATGGACCATTAAGTCTAGCTTTGTAAAACATTCTACTGATGGATGGTCATGGATCCTTGTAAAATTTGGGTACTGGAGAGAGTAAGACCAATTTATTTTTCCTAATATTTCAATTCATGATTTTAAAATGTATAATAAATTCAATTTAAAAATGTACAATTTTATCACACACTTCTCTTTTTGTTCTGTCTTTCTCTCTTCCTTCCTCCCTTCCTCCCTCTCTCCCTCCCTCCTTCCCAGTTGGTGAAGAAAACTAGAATTAAGGTTAAAAACAAATTAAAATCGCACTAAAATGTTGTGTAGCCTTTGTCAACAATATCTCTAGAATTACATGTCACTTAATAGAACATAATAGAAAAAAGCAATGCTAAAGTGCTTTTGATGGTCATTTTTTCAAGACTACTAAAACCAATGCCGAATAACATATATTTATTGAACTATAGGACCAATACACATATCACTGTGTATTCCACTTCAAAGTATTTTAGGAGACATGATTTCTACATGAAACAATCTCATATAGATGTTTACTGTATACATACATACATACATACATATAAATATATGTGTGTGTGTATATAACATTACATTATGATAGTATTTCACATAATATAAGAAGTTAAAGTGTAAATTTGCAAAACTCAAATTGCTTTACATCAAAATATTTACCATCAGAGTTATAACATTCCATGAGCTCTTTATGTTTTGTATAAGATATTCATGTCATCTTAAAATATTCATATAATTTAAGATATTCATGTAATCTTCACTACTTATAAGAAGCAAAATGTAAGTCTGCACATTTTAGACTGACAATACTGGCTTCAGAAAGTTAAATAGCACTGCAATAGTTCTGTAATTTAAAGAAGAAAAATGGCTTTGAATTCTTCTCTGTTTAGTATATATACATGCATTTGTTTATATCATGTTGCTTTAGACTCGTTTTATTATTTGTGATAAATTTCTTCTGAAAAATCTTAAGTGAAGAGTCAGGAATTCTATGAGTAAAATTATTTTATAATAAAATTCGTAACTGATACAAAATGATCTGTGAGTTAATGTCTGAAATAATTCTGATATGAGATAAGGCAGTGACTTCACTTTAACTTCCATATTCATCATTGTCTTTATATTCCACAACTCAGAAAGGCAACACTGAGAATTGAGGAATGTAAGAAAGAGGATTTAGCTATCCAGGTGGAGTCATTGAATCTCCTAGCTTGGGCATGGTACAGGAATGTACAAGAACCCATTACAATTATGAGAAGATGGCTAAAAAGAACTTCTTAAAGGCTCTCAAGCCAGGTAGACACAGATGACTTCTAATTTGTAAATTCTCCTAAAACACTTTCTTTCTCTATCAGTATTCAAACTCCTCGAGATGTTTTTTACTGTATGTTTATAATACATAACAGTTACCTTCACTTTGGGGGAACTGGCATGTATATAACGTTTCTTGATCATTTGCAATCCCTTTATCACCTCTCCATTACCTCTAATCCCCTCCTTTAATTCTTCCCCAGTCCAAAAAGTCTGCTTTCTTGTTTCTTACCATTTCTTTTTAATTTTACTTAATTATTTATTTAGATCTTAGGCTAGTCATGTAAAAGAATCAATATTTTAACTACCTTTGACTTGTTTCACATAGCATTATCTTGAGTTTCATCCATTTACCTATAAATATAATTATTTCATTTTATTTTTTGCTTAATAGTCTTCCATTGTGTACACATCCTGCAAAAAATTTTGGTGTTGAAATATAGCTCAATGATAAGGTGCATGCCTTTCATGCACAGGCCCTAGGTTCAATCTCCAATATCAGAAAAAAAACAAAAACAGAAACCAAAACACAAAAAACAGTTTCCATTACTCTCCAAGACGAAGTTTCTTCCAATACTCAGACTAAAAATAAGAAGTGCTGAGAGAAAAGTAAAACTACTTTTACCTTTAGACATTTTAAATGGCTAGAGAGGTTTTCATTGCAATTTTAAGTTATTTTTTCCATGTTTATAGCAGCACAGTTTGTAATAGCTAAAATTTGGAAACAGCCTATTTGCCCATCAGTTGGAAACTGGATAAAAATGCAGTTTTTCTATAAAATGGAATATTACTCAGCCATAAAGAACGAGAAAATAGATTCATTCATAGGAAAATGGATACATTTTGGGGATATACTCCTAAGTGAAATAAATAAGTCACACATGTGTAAATAATGAATAGTTTCTCTGGTGTGAATAATCTGCAATAATACATAAGATCCTAATAAGATTAGTGACATTGAGAAATGGGAAGAAAGGAGCTAAAGGTGTAGGGAAGGTGGTAGGGGAAGGGTAATAAGGGAAAAGAAAACAATGTGAGATGATGAAAAGATGGAAATAAAGTGTCCATGCTTATTTCTTTTTTATGTAAGATACAGAATTATAAAAGTTCAATCCAGCAAATATAAGGATCAGTGCTAACACAAATCTGCCATTTATTAATAGAGGAATCACTTGCCTCATTTTTCACAATACAGTGGGCTCGATATTGATAGCACTGCGGCAAGGCAAGCTTTGAATGTCACCAGAGCCCGGGTGCGGTGGGGTTCACAGATAGCAGAGAAACGTGGAGCCTCACACTCACCTGGCTGCCTTCCTTCTGCCAAAACACAGCTGGCTGTGGGTTTCCCTTTGTCTCACAAGGAAATGTCACTGTTCGACCTTGTGCAACAATCTGATCCCTTGGCCTGACCACAAACTGTGGAGGAGCTATAATTTAAAAAGAAAGAAAGTGTGTAAATATCATTGACAAAGAAAGTGATGTCAAAGTGAGAATCGGCTCTAGTTGGATTGTTTAGTGTCAAGAGGAAGGATACATTTGTTTTTTTACTTTTTTTTTTTTTACTTTTTCCAGTGTCTCAAAACCCAAAGGGAAAGGGAAAGAGTGCTCTATTAAATGCGAAAAAGTAAACTTACTTATATATATTTTAATATTGTGCATTATAATGCTGTCTTCTACACACATATGGAGTAAAATACATAGGGTCCTTATGATTCTAATTTTTAGGGAAAAACATGGAACTCATTTTGCTTCTGCTTTTGGGATAAAGGTGGAAAAGAATCACTATATCCTTACATTAAAATCAATTTATTAAGCAAACATGAATTTTCTTATAATGTTTGTAAGATATCATTTGAGGTAATGGGATGCTAGAAGACATAAAACATGATCCTTATTGTTAAAATATTTATTTTCTACAAATAAGGAGTTGAAGAGTTAAAGACATTAAAGTATTTAAGAAATGGGAGTTTCAAACAAAGTTAACAGTATACATAAATGTATTAAAATAGTTTGCTTAACTTAATTAATTTCATATAGATGGACAAGCAATGTTTTAGCAGCTACTATTTTCCTTCTTGACTGGGCACTAAAGAAATAGAGAGGAGTAGCTCTGATAAGTCATCAAAGAGCTCTTAACCAACAGAAAGACAAAAATCATGATGACAATGACAACAATAAAAACAAAACTAACCCAACACTTTTCTAAGACTGTGTTAAGTACAGTGGTAGAGGGACTCTCAGACCATAGTAGAGTAGCACATAAATTATAGTACATATAATCAACGTGATACAGCTTTAGGACGGAGGAATCTGTTTTGTGCTGGCAGTGAAAGACTTTTTGTAGGAAAATGACGTTACAGTTTCCTAGGCAGCATTTGCATAAGTGGAGTAATGAATACATTTCAAGCCAATTTCCTGAGTAAAAAAGCAGCAGTAACACATCTAGCATACCTTATATGATCTGGCGGGAATGGAGAGTTTAAATTGTATAACCATTATGACAACAAAGGGAGATTTAAGAAGCCATATTGAGGATTTTCTTCTGACTCTTTCTAAACTGAGGAATGATTATTTCAAAGAATAATTTTTTGGAAAGTTTAACCCTGTAATGAACATACGGTAGGGTGAGAAACATTCAATTGTAGAGTTTTGTTGGGAGACTAGTAAAACGCTGAAGTGAAGGTAATGAGACCAGGACACAAATAACACTTAGAGAAAAGTAAGGGGTGGGATAACAGAACAGTGTATCTGGAAGCTTTCACAAGGACACCTTCATACCAAACCTCACTTTTCTTGGAGAAAATGCAACATTGTTTATCCCATGATTTTCTAATCATCCATTTCCACTTTAATCAGTTGCTTATGCTAGAAAACTAAGGCCATGCAATCATTCAAAACTCAACTTTAATTTGTAGAATGTGGTGTACTTGGCAACAGTCTTAACATGTGACTTCTAGAGAATGCTAAGAATAAAAGTTGTGGGCAATAAAGTCCTTCACCTGTAATTCTAAAGGCTGTACATGTGGATCTAAGAAAAGACTAAATGCAGAGTAGCCTCACACATATACCCAATTATTCATCCTACTACAAATGCTATCACTAAGACAGCAGTGGCATTTTTTTTTCTCAAAAATAATCAGTGAGATTTGTATTGACTTATTTTTTGTGTTCTATTATACTGATTCCTAATTCAACACAGCCAACACATGCCCTAGGGACAGAAGAGAGAAATTTACTAAGTAAAATCTCTTTCTATAACTACAGATAACAGAAGCCTCATCCTAACAGTATGGAGAATCCAGATTTATGGATCTATTTGACCATAGTGTGGTTTGTGTGGCCTTGCGTTTTCAGATTACGTCCTTCTTACAATCTTGCTATTTCTTAACAATTCTACTGAATCAGCAGATACTTTGATTTTTGTTTCATGTTTTTTTTAATAGGAATGATATTTTATATGAATGTTAAGAAATTAGGAAAAACTGAAAATACAACAGTATCTGTCTATTTTTCAGTAGATATGTGAAACCACCAGGTACCTCCAAGAGACCCTTAAGGCTGGTCTGTAACAAGATTGGTCTCTGTCATGTGTATCTGCATGATAATAGGTTTTCTACTTCGTAATCCATGTGTAATTCTTTACCCTTGAAATCTATGAACAAAGAGTAATGATGTAAATATGGATACTAGCTTCAAGGGAAGTATTTAGTTTTATCTCAACATTAAAAATTGAAAACAATTGTCAAGATATGCTATTTACCATTAATAAAATATTACATATTCAAACTATTAGTTCATTGTCACTTCTTTGGATGAGAAAAAATTAAATTAGCCTACACAATTAGTAAAACTTTAGAACCCCATGTACTCTATCTGGTATTTTTTTAGATATAATTTTTAAAATATAATTTAGAAAATGAACAGAGAATACATATGGTTGAAATCATCAAATGGGACATAAATGAAAACAGTGAAAATCTTTAGGCCAGCGATTCTGCAAAAATGTTTTGGAAATTCATGTACTACAATTTTTTAAACGTTGTCATAATATGCTCTCCTAAATAAGGACTGGCAATTGATCCTATCTGTGTGTCCACATTTCCGAGAAGCTATGATGCATCTGTTTATTAATTTAAGATGTAGAGACTGACTACTCAGTGTGAGACATCCTGCTTGGTGCAAGGGAAGGGAAGCTAAATAAACAGTGGTCCTTCTTCTGTGGCCCAGGCTGCTAAGGAAGTATGCAAACAAATAAATATATAGAATATAATGTATATAATAATAGAAAAAAATCTAGAAGATACTGAATAGAAGCAAATTAAGCCACGAGGTGAAGAAGGAAGAATAAATGCCAGAAGTGGCCTACACTTGAGCTGTATTTCAAAGCACAAGTCAGAGTTCACCAGATGAAGAAAAGCAGGGTCACTTGGCAAGGCATAATCAGCATCTAGGGCAGATATCTGCGATTGGGTAGAAGACAAAGGATTTTAAGAAAAAAGGAATCTAGGCTGCAGAGATCACATAGACAGGGCCCGATAATTTGTGTTAAGATTTTTGTCCTGAAATCTGTTCAGATCTATCAAAGATGCTTTTGGAAGACAAATATCATCAGATTTGTGTTACGGAAAAAATTCTCTGCAAGCAATTAAGATGGTGATTGGAAAGGAAGAAGCAAAGCACTAGAAAGCATTAGCAAGTCGGGACAGAGTGTTCAACTGGGAATCGTTATTTGTAATAGCACTAAAGAAAACATTTCATCAGAACTCTTAAAAAGTTATGGAAAACCATAGCTAATACGTACTACTGATGATATAATCTTTAAAAAGCTAAGAAATCATAATTTCTTGATCTTTTATCCATGTCGAATTTTTCAAAAGACTGCTAACAAAAAGCTATCCGTTTTTGTGTTATGAATTTCAAAAGCATATATTTTCATGTGATGTTTAATTATGTGGTATTTTTGTTCTTAGTTATTACAAATATGTTATATTAATACTGCATCCAATATCTTGTCACTAGAAATTATATCTCAAGCATCTCAATGGCACTGGAATTATCTTACCATTTTTAAAATTTAAAAAAAGCTAAAAATACCGAAGGAAACATTTTACAAAGTCAAAAAATTTAAAGAGCATTTGAGTCTCTGAAAATGTGTGTCCTTTTATCACATGGAGTCAGTTTAACAAAACAAATGGCAATAATCACTTTTACTTTTATAGACTCCCTTTCTCTGCCCAAGATCTATACTGCAATCTTCTGGGAAGGGATATCAGCTAAAGAAATTTATTTTTGAGGTTTTAAAATGAAGCACTGCATCAATAATTCTTCTGTGAACATTCCACAGTTTCAGTATTTCTGCCAGGTTGCAGGGAAAATGGTTTCAAAAGGCAGCACTTGGCTGATGGCACCAATGGGAGGGAGGAGACGGAGGTGGCATTTTATCAACACAGCACAATAGTGCAAAGTGTGCTATACATAAAATTGATTTTCTACAATAGCTGTCGTTAAATATAAAAAAACACAATTAGGTCCTCAAGATGATAATTCAAAACACACATTTAAGTCCAATGTGAATTAAAGTGATTGAGTTATAAACTCCAGAAGAATATGCTAGTTATAGAAATGGCAATTCTCCGATAAGTTTGTGAGTCAGAGGAATATAAAATGTACATTCATGTCCTCTCTAAAACCTGAAAACATTAGACAATTTACTTGTAACTACGATGTAATGACATACTTGCTTAATCTGTCTAGTGATTATACCTTATTGCTTCAGCTAGAAGAAGAAATGGGATGAGGCAAACAGAGTGGCACAATTCAGCATTTAATAAACACTTCCAAGTTAAAAAACAATAGCTCCGTAAGAAAAGTATGTTGTATGCTTTCCAGAGAAATAAGGCCCGAATATAAAAAGGCCAATTAAGATTAGAGGTCTGGGACAGTTCACTTGAAACAGTGTTTTGAGAATTTAAATACAATGCACAGTAAATTGGATTTGATTTCTGCTAAATTATGCTTTGATACTGCATTCAGGCCAAGCTGGCTTCAATCAAAGTCATGCTACAGCTCTGTTATGCTAATGCCTGCTGGGCAGAGTGAGTGGGCGATATGGAAATTAGATGGGTGAACATGAGTAGGAAGCACAGGCCATGCATGAGGTGGGCTTTGAGACGAGGGAAGGGGGGACCTTAAAGGTTAATCACATCGTGTTCAAGTTGTTTCTACAGGAAAATGTGACTTTCTATGGCAGGCATTAACATGGAGATAGTCATACAGCAGTTAGATACATTAATATGTGATACAGGATGGTTACAGATACACTCGGCTGCTCTCTCTTTGGGTGTGATTTCATGCCTGAATGAATAAACTTTTGCCTCTGTATTAATAAACATTTTGAACTTTGTGATAAACTCAGATACAAAACAAA